TGTTATAATCATGATAGTTTTAATCTGATTGATTGAGTAAAATTTGAAAAATTTTTTTTATATCACACCAACAGACAGATTAATCTTGAAAATCAAACAAAAAAAAAACAAAACAAAACAAAACAAAAAAGAAAATGAACAAATGATTGTAAGTTATTCATTCATTCAGTTAGCTGAAGCCAAATGCAAAAATTAAAAAAATTGGTTTTTGAGAAAAAATTTTTGAAACAATTGTCAATCAAGTATAAATTGGAATGTTTTTTTTTTTTTTTTTTGTTATTTCTTGCATAAATATGAGATTTTAATAAAAAAAATATATATATGAAAAAGAAATCAAAAAAAAAAAAATAAAATAAAAAGATAAGAATGTTTATCACAAAGGTTTTAAAAAGAGTCTAAAAGTTACATTAAAATTAAGAATTAAACATTTGATTAAATAATTATCGGAAATGAAGGAAAAATATCTGAAAATAAAATTTTCCATGGTAAAGTGCATTTGATAATTTAATCAGCTAAAGCAATGTAACGAAACATCCTTTGGGATTGTATATATAACATTTAAAGTTAATGTATAAATTTAGATTAAATATATTATTTCAAGAATTTAATAAATATAATATATTACTATAATATCCATCCTGTATGTATTCAGAAGTAAATAACGTATGCATCATGTTTAGATGGATAAATACATTTGGGAATGAATGAAAATTATGAATATTACTAAATATAATTTAAAAATTAATTTAAACAATATGATTGTTTAAATTATTATAAATAAATAAATAAATAAATCATAAAATATGCTATAAACGCGATGAAAATAAGTTTAAATAACCAATTGTAACATTAAATTTAAATTAACTAATATCTGAAGAAAAAAAAAGACTTGAAAATCAATCTGGCAAACTTAAAGATCAATTAAAATAACAGAAGTTTTTTTCACATAAAATTTAATTAAGTATAAGAATTGCGCATTAGATTTAATCAAAATAACAATTATAACAATTAATAATTATGGTAATAATAACAATAATAATTAATGATATCAATAATTAATAATAAATAATAATTAATATTAATAACAACAGCAAAATAATAATAGAAAATAATATGAGTACTAGCAATATGGCAGTAATTCAAAATAAGAAGAGAGAAAACCGGTGAGTTAAGAAAAAAGCTTATTTTCAAATGTTTTAACAAAACATCTGATGAGAAAAAGAAAAATCAGCAAATCAAATAGTAGAAATGGTGATAGATGGTATAGCGGAAATCGAAGTAGAAGTAAAGAGTCGTAGAAGAAGAATGAAAATGGAAGAAGGATGACAAAAAAAAAAAAAAAAAGAAAGAAAAGTAAATTCCAAAAATACCGAAAAACTTTTACTGATCATTAATAACCATAATATCATGAATATGGTAGCATGTGTGGTAATGATAATAACTATTTGTCATTCACATAACACTAATAATCAATAAAAACAATGGGTAATAATTAGTAAGAAAAGTAATAATTAATAATAAAGATAAAAAAATTTAATAGTAACAATAAATTTAAAATACAAATAGACCACAAAGCAATTTCGAATTTGATTATAAATTTAGAATACATATATAAATCAATTTATCAAACTGTATAATTGCTATAATTTGCCTCAATTTCAGCGATATCTCGGTACAATTGATATCAAAAATGAATATCTGTAAAGTGATTAAGAGCAAGTTATGATGATAAATATAAAATAAAGTGCAATTTAATAGATATTAAAAGAATCATTTTTATTTACAAATTTGAATTTCATAAAAAGTTAAAAAAAAAAAAATGAAAGATTACTTTATAGAAAGATTGCTTTTTTCAATAATATTTTATAGTAATTGAAATGAGCAAGATTAAATATCAGTTATCAGTTATTAAAGATGAAAAAAAGATGAGATAGCAACGGAAGAATTTTTATTATAAAATTTCATTAAACTAAAACAGAAATTTCAGTATGGTATAAAACATTGAAAAATTTTCACCTTTCCGTTCATTTAATCTGTTTTGCTACCACAAAAAATAAAAAAAAAATCTCCTAAAATTAAAATCAAACTAATTTTGCTAACAACTTGAAGAAGCATAATTAATTAATGACTTGTAGTAATAGTAATAACAATAAAAACAATAATAATTAATAATGATAATAACAATAGTAATAAAAAACACCAATAATTGTTATAAAAAAGTGAAGGTAGTAAAGAAACAAAGAAATGGAGTATATAGAGAAGAGAGATAATAATTAGAATTCAACGAGAAGATGGATCATCGAATGAAACAAATGAAGGAAACAAACAAATAAATTAGGTCTCAACATATAATCGTCGAAATCATTCAGTGACAAATATTCATTCATTTAATGTAAAATATAAAAAATAAAATTTACTAAAAAAAAAAAAATGTCTAAACTATTAAGAAATGAAACAAAGAATAGAAGCAATAAAATAAAATCAACCAATTCAAATTAAGGAAAAGAAAAATCACAAAAAAGTCAAAAAAAAAAAAAAAAACTTATTCATCATTTTTCTCATAATTTCATTTTATTTTTATCCATTTAATTTCTGTTTAATTCTCGAAGATGAATTTAAATTTTTGGTTAAAAATTAAAAATCCACGAATAATAATCGCGGATCTTTTGTATAATTAATGAGTAGCTAAAATTGAATGGTATTTAAAGAAAGTGAGCATAGGATTATACGAAATAGCAAAATGTAAACATTTAGATGATAGATAAATTTGCCGTATTCAGTGAATTAATTCAATTTGCTTCTAAACCAAATGTCGCATTTTCATTTCATTTTGATGATAATGAATAAAGTTCTCATAGATTGGTTGCATTTTTTTAATAATAAACGAAAATTTTCATAGAATATAAATATCTCCTATGTTTTTCCATATGATAAGGTAAGTATTTAAAATTTAATTACATTAATAAAATATTGTTTACTCATTACACTAATGCTGATAAAAAGTACAGTGAATAAACAATGATATAATAGCAAAGAATGAGAGAAAATTTGATTAAATAAATATGCGAATATATAAAAACTATTTAAGTAAGAATAAATCTTATAAGAATATAAGAATAAATCATAAATGGATACTTGAGGAATTAATTTTCAATATGGAATAAATTAAAAAGCTAAACTATATAAATTTGGGCTATTCACCACAACACTAACGTAATTTGCAAATATAAATATTTGTATAATGAATACTTAAAATTCTCCATGATTTAAAGAAGTAGTACAAAAGTAATCAAACAAATTATTCAGAAAATAAAAAAAAAAAAAACTAATTGCTACATTTTCTCTGTTTTCGTTCTTTCTTTCCTTTTTTTTTTTCACTTATCTTAAACGAATAAATTGTTATAATTTGTTTGGAAAAATAAAAAAGAATAATATTAATTCAAAAAAAAAAAAAAGAAAACTGTAAATCTTTCTTAATTAGAAAAAACAACCTTCTTATTTTTTATGAAAGAAAATTTATAAAATTTCTTATTGTAACATTAAGAAAGAATTCATGTTAATTGTTTGCATGTTAATTGTTTAATTATCCCTTTCATCTTTTTTTTCTCCACTATTTAAGATCCATTTGACATTTAAATATGCTTCTGATTAACAAAAAGATTTTTTTTTACCATTTCACTTGAATTACTAACAACTATTATTAATTGATGTGTCTCTTTTCTTTTTTTTTGTGTGTACATGTATGTAGGTATGTCTGTGTGTGTGTGTGTGTGTGTGTATGTATTTATGTATGTATGTATGTAAGTAATTATGTATGCATGTAAAAAGAATTATAAATGAAAGAGTGAAATCTTTGAAACTGGATTACATGTGTGTGTCATTAAAAGATAATAGTTGACAGTATGTTAATCGATATCAACAGATAAAATGATAGAAAAAAAATTCAAGTAATATTTCGAGGGATAAAATTTATCCTAAACAAAAAAAAAAAAAAAACCAAAATTTCTTTGTTGAAAAAAAAAAAGATGTGATAAAAAATAAGGGTTTAATATTTTGGTTGTTAGCTGTAAAGATTATAAAAGTATACAATAAGACAATCATATGACTTTACATAATTGTATTATAATTTTGCAAGTTTTAAGCTGTTATGTATAAATAAGCTTCAAAATTTATAGATAAAATATACCTCATTGAATTATGTTTCCATCAGAATTCCCATCCATTACAGTTGACTGAAAATCCTGAAAAGCTTAGTGCATGACAGTGGTACAGGTATATAGTTTCAATAATAAGTAAATAGTTTGAATTTAAGTATTAATGACTGAAAAGTGTCAAATTACTAATTTAGAAATCAAAAAATGATTTAAGAATTAATACATATTTAAAATTACCTTTCTTGCAGTGTATATTCAAACTGAAACTGAAGTTACCATTTGAAATGATTCGTCATTAAGTTATTAGTTATAAGTAGTTTAGTAATTTCGAAATAAATCAAAAGCATAAATTTAATTTCTTTTAACCTATTTTATAGAAGTGGAAAATTTATAGCGTCATATCGTAATTCAAATAAAAAATTTTCCCATACTTTACCATTATTTGTCATTGCAATCAGATTGTGCAAAGCAAGAAATGATCAAAATTTCGACTTTTATTCATTCAATATTATTGCTAATTAGAATCAAACAGGAATAACACGAAGTAAAAATGGAGCAAAATGAGAAGCGATGAATATGTAGTAATTGATATTTCATGTTCACCGCATACTACTAAGAAAATTACTGAACAGGATTCTGATTTTTCAAGATTTTTGAGAAAAAAAAAGGAAAAAACCCTAGATTTACATCAGAAAAGAATCAGAATCAAGCAATTAAACGGAGCGACAATCAATTAGCTACCCGACATTAAACAGTTTCACCAAAAAGGAAAAAAAAAATCGGCAAAAAAATAAATAAAAAGCGACATCTCATTGTCTATATAAAACGATATGATAGATAACAAAATTATATGAAAGGATTTCGGCGAGATCCATAAGGCGGAAAAAGTTTGCCCTTTTCTCTCAATTGATCATATGCTATTTGAATGTGATGTGGCTTCAATGGCTCACCCTCTTCTCCCATCCGTTCGCGAATGTCTAATGCTAAAATATTACCATCTTAAGACTTTGGCTTTTGAAAATTAGAAAGTACACAGATATACATACAAAGATAAAGATTATAAAACCCAACTAAATTTAGTAAAAAATCCACGAATAATTCAAACGCACATTCAAAACAATGGGAAAAATATTCAAAAAAAAAAAAAAAAAAAAAAAAGCAATAGAAAAAAAAAGCAATGGAACAAATATTTTTCCAAAAAAAAAAACAATAGAACCTTCTTCGACAAGTTCCCCAGCGAATACTTTGGCAAGTCCCGCGACAGCTATTATAACATTATGTCCAGGCGTGACACCCGTTGCTTGATAAATAAGCTAAACTTTTTCTTTTACTATTTATTACGCAAAATAATTAAAGAAATTTTTTCCAAATTGCTTTCTTTTCATATAACCGATAAAATTTTTGGATAAAGTAATATTATGAAAAGTCCTGACCATAGGGAAAACGTGATATTATAAGTATAAAATTTGAATGAATTCGTGATAATAAAATAAATGAATTAATATTTCTGATAAAAATAAAATTTAATAAAATTTTTGATAGAAGAAAAATGCACTTTTCGAATTGCACTTTTTGGAAAAGATGAACGTCGGAAGCATTCGTAACGTGCCAACTGTTCAGACGAAAAATTAGCTACCAATATCCTACAAATAATCACAAAGAATAATTACTACAGCATGTGGAAGAAAGAGATAGTTGGATCAAAGGTAACCTTACTACCGTCTTTTATTCCTTTTGGAAAATGATGTGCTTGAATCAATTTCTTAAAATCGTTATATGAATTGAAGATTGAGAAATAAAATAAATAAAATTGTTATCTATAATTACTGCATTTTTTGACGCAAGATTTCATCTTGTCTACTTAATTTTCTCGGCTGCAAAGCAGCTTCATTTTGCTCGTCATCGGAATTTTCGGTTTCAGGAGAATTCCCTCTACTCGGTCCTGCTCTCTGCAATTTATGTATCATTGTTGGCACGACTGAAATGACGTGATGATTAAGCTGTGATGAATTTTTTTTCCCTATTTTTCTTTAATATTATTTTCATCTTCCTTCATTTTCTATAACACATTTTATCATCATCTTTCATGCTTTCCGTAATAATAAAAATAAAAATCACTTTGATAAAATATTTTTAACGACATCAAAATAAAGTAGCAATTAGACTACTTACTGATGCATCCTTAATGCCTGTCTTTTCATTATCTCTAACATTTTCTGCAAAATGGACATTCAATCCACTCTTTAAGTTTGATGAACCTGCTGCAGAAGAAGAGGCTAGAGATGAATTCTTCGATACAGCATCCATTGTAGTAAAATCTGCAGGGTCTAACTGAAACGTTAAAATGTATACATTATTATCAAATGCCTTTTATAATAACTTTATTATTTGCTTTCGATCTAACAACTTTGACTTACTACTCTCCCAAATCCTTTAACATTTCCCTCTCCCCAAAACAGCAATTGTTATAATTCATACTAAACCAAATAGCGGATCGTCCAGTAATTCGATTGCATGAAGAGGTAACTCTCCCTTGCTAGTTTTAACCGGTATACCATCTGTACCAATATCATTATCAGATTTTCTTTTCAAACTCGATGACTGCTGAAAATTTTATACAATAATGAAAAAAAAAAAGAAAAAAAAAAACATTAAAACCATTTGCTTTGTAGAACAGACAAATATAAAACAAAAAGATAATTGAGGCAATCTGCTACGAGGTTTAATAATTATTACAGATTTAATAAATCTCACGTAATATTAATAATGATCTTTTCAAGTATTCAAATCATGACTTCAGGAGATAACTTGTAAATCATCGGTAAATGAAGATTGCTAACTAAATACTTTGTGCAGAAAAATGAAATAGAAATATAAAAACCGTTTTTTTGAGTACAGAAATATATATTAATTATCATCATTATATGATGCACAAACAGATAATTAATGAATTGAAAAAAATGAAACTAGCCACTTTTACTTCTGATACTGATGCCTCATTACTTGAAGGTTTTTCGGCGCAACTCTCTTTTGCATCCGACTTTTTCTCCTCATCATTATCATCACTATCGCTCAATTCACCCAAAAGATCAGCAACATCTGCCCAGTCAGCCATTCTGAAAATTCCTATTCAACATTGCTTGTTAATTAATGGCAACTTCAGCATTTATTTGCTATAAAATAACAAAAAACAAATGTACACATTCCCACAAGTCCTTAAGTTGTAAAATTAAAATTTACTTAGAACAAATTTTTTGAAACTATTCTATTTATACATCTGTATACGAGAATACCAATGCATCATCAAAATCAACCATTAAACAGCTTACGTTGACAAATCATTAATAAATGCTATATGCTTGCTAATTAGCGTACCGATAATTAAAAAAAAGAGTTTAAAAAAATTCGATCATAACAAATTTCACATGTCTTTTCATCCCTATTTTTAAACTTATTAAAAAAAGAGATATGCTCGATTATTATTCGTAGCTTTTAATTTCAGCAAGTGATCATTTTATGTTTGTTCCAAAAATTCCTCTTATAATCTTTAATTCATTTCATTTTTTTTCCTTTTCAAACATACATGAAATAATATTTGTTCACTATAAAACTAAGAAAAAAAAGTGTCAAAGCGAGTTTTTGAATTAAAATTTAATGAATTTGCTAAAATAACAACCAATAACGGATGAAAAAAATGGGACAAGAAAAATCAGTTATAAAACAAAATCGCATTCTGACGTTAAACCGATGGAAGCATAATTACACAATTTATGAAATGCAAATTGTTATTTCCTGTAGCTAAGATGGCTTTATGATGGTAGTATAATAGTTTGCTTTGGAGAAGTAAAACAAATATGTAGGAATTAGTTTTTACTTGGAATGGCATAAAGTTAATTCTTAAATAATTGATTAAAATTTAATACTTTAACTAAATTATTTTGTAAATTAATGCTTACTTTTATTCATTTTTGGATATTTTTAAATATTATTTTTTAGCAATTATATTTTGCAATATTCTATACAATTTAAAATTTCCATTTATAATTTGTAACTTCAATCGCTTTGAAGGAAAATGAAAATGAATTTTACTACTATCATATATTATCAATTATTTTATGTATAGCTGTTCTTTTTTTTTTTTTTTTTTTTTTTTTTCAATTATAATTGATTCAACATTGGATGTGATGAATTTTAGATTTTGATAATGGATATTGAAAGAAATTCCAGTCAAATTTTACATGAAGAGTTGAATTAAGTATATTTTATTATTCATAGGGGAATTAAGTATATATTTTATTATTATTATATTATTCAATTAAGTATATTTACTATTATTCATTTATTATTATTATTATTATTATTATTATTATTATTATTATTCATTAACGTTTATTTCCTTCTCGAATTCTTTATTTCATGATTTCAGTCGGATACTATGAATACCAGTACTGCTATTACTACTATTAATTACTATTACAATTAATATTAATGATAATAATGGTAATAGTAATAGTAATAATAAATAATAGTAATATCAACGACAAGAACAACAATAATAATAGTAATAGACAATAATAATATAGTATTAGTAATAATAACAATAACAGTAGCAATGATAGTAATAATAACTTGAATTTATTACAGTATCTTTTCCATGAATTACAATATCTACATACGATGACCATTTAAACTCAATTTTTTATTAAATTGTGAAAAAAATTTTTGGAGAATTTTTTAAATTCTTTGAATTTTAGCTTTTACCAATTGCATATATAATTAATCTCCATTTTTGTTTTTTCTTCCAGCATATCATTCAAATGGCTGATGAGTTAAATTTTTTAATCGTTGGTGGTCTTAGCTATATTGGCTTACACATTATGGAATATTTATTGGAGAAATATCCAAATATTAAATTAACAATTCTTGATTTATCATCGAACACAGCTTGTACAAATGAAATTTTAAAGAAAGTTGAAAATTATCGCCAACAATGCGTTATTACCATTGGTAGTCCTGGTAATAGTGAATTGGTAACAAAACTATTAAAGGAATATAAGGTAAAAATAATTTTTATTGCACTAATATAAAATGATAATTGTTATATCAATTTATTGAAATTTATCGAAATAATCATTATTAACCTATTTTATTGTTTGCATCCATAATCTAACTAGAAGTAATGGTAAAATTTTAATTATTTTATTTCAGTTATCCATTATTCCAACAATTATCCAAATGGATAATTCTAGATTAATTAATGCTGTATTATTTTTTTTTTATCAAATCAGACAGTATATTATATCTTGATAAAACTTGCAAAATTTTAAATAATACATAAGAAGAATATTCACTGATCTAATTTGATTGATATTGTATTTGATATATATATATTTAGATTGATATAGTATTTTAAAGACTTTACATAAATATTAATATCATTATTTAAAACTTCAATTTTAAAACTTGCTGAATCTTAATCGAAAATTTGAAATTTTTATGAAATTTAATTGAATTAGTATAATTTATTCTTGCGAAATTATCAAAAATTTTAACTGATAATGCATAATTGTGAACAGTTTCATAGTGGGTGTATTTCACAAAAAAAAAAAAAAAAAAAAATCAATATTCTTATCAGTTTAAAATTTCGATAATTCATCCAAAAATCAAAAGAAAAGAAACATTTTGCTACTTATGATGATTTGTTTCTTTTTTTTTTTTAAATTTATTTTTTGTTACAGATCAATAATGTATTATACAACATTTGGAATGATGATGTTAATGATATTGCTACCAAAAATGATCATCCAGGATGTTTTCGCAAAACATTATCCTGTATGACACAATTTTTGGAAATTTTACGATGCCATGAGAATTTAACAAAATTCATTCTTATTAGTTCGGAAGAAGTAAGCAATTATATTGAAGTAAAAAATTTCTGTAATATTTTATATAAATCATTTCTATGTAGTATTATTGTTTTATTTATTTAACATTTGTTGATCTCTAATTTCTGATTACTTAGTTATAATAAAATATGAAAATGCAAAATTTATTTTTTACTAAACAAAAAAATATTTTTATATAAAACTTTTTTTTTTTTTGACATTTATTTTTGATTTCTAATCTCTACTTTATGGAAGTAAAAAAAAAGTAAATTTTCTATATTTTTAGTTAAATAATGTTAAGTTTAGGTTTATGGAAAGCAAACAGTAAAACTGGAGACAATAGCAACAAAACCATGTTCACTTAAAGGAGCAGCAATTAATGCATGTGAAATGATGCTTCGTTCTTATCTTATTAGTTATCGTTTACCTGCTGTTATTGTACGATTATCAGCAGTTATCTATGGTGGATTAATGGATGATAATTCATTACTGCAATTAAAACAGGGTAAAATATATTAATGCTTATAAAATATATCATGAAATATTAAATAATACATAAATTAGTAAATCTCATAGCTAATAAAACTTTCATTTATCATCATTTCTGCCATGAATGGTTATTTATAGTCAAAAAATTTCTCTCAGATTCAAACTTTGTTTTTTTTTCTTTAAATTTCTCTCAAAAATTTAAACATTTAAACAAATTTAAACTTTTGCAGTTGATGATAATGGAAAAAGTGGAACTGTTGGTTTGTTACACATTCGAGATGCTGTGGTTGGCATAGGATCTGCGTTAGAACACGGACGGATTGGTGAAGTTTATAACATTGGAGGTGAATGTGACTGTTCTCCTGATTTTCTCCAACTTATTCCAAAGGTTTAGTTTTTTAATTTTTATGGGGAAATATGAATAAATGTTTTTTATTTCAATGCTGGAAAGTTTTTTTATTTCTTTTGAACTTATTGTGATTGGCAAACCATTCAGTAGCCAGTTGCAGTTTCAACGAATTACACTATTCTGTTTGTATAAATTTACATATTTACATGTTTTTGTTTATTAAAAAATAATAATAATTTCAGCTTAAAAGGGGCGAAATTTCAAGCGATAAAATCAATATTTCACCACTGACAATGCCGTCGACGAAAGCTGAAGTTGAATTGTTTTGGAAAGCCAAAATTTTGCAATCAGATGGTTTAAATTATGCATTTTAATAGTTAAAAAAAAAGTTTATTGAAATTTCTCAGACAGTTTTTTAAACGATTTCATTTTTACTTATCGTTTTGCTCTTGCATTTAAGGAATGCGTGAAATAATTGATAAAAATGAAAATCAGCAGAATGAAATGAATAGTGCTAGTACACATAAAATTCTTATTTATGGTACTGATTTCGCCTTGAAACGCCTTAGTAGATTAATCGAGAATAAGGTTAGTATATTTTTCTTCTATTAAAATATAAAAGAAAGAGATTAGTTTATATGTGGAAATTTTTTTTAAATTTATATGTGAAAATTTTTCTCTTTATAATGAATGACAAATAATTTTTATTGTAAGCAGTGATTTCAGAAAAGATATCTGCCAGAATCAATGCAGAAAGAAGATGTTATCATTGCAAATCAGCCAGCAGGTGATATTGATATCAACGAAATAATTGATATATCTCCAAGTCACATTATTTACATCTTCCTTCCAAATACGGCAGAAGGTCACTATTTTATATTTAATTGATTGCTTATTTCTTCTCATAAAATACTTGATTATCAGTCATTTATTAGGTTTTAATCCTGATTATATAATTTGATATTGATATTAACCATCTAATTGATATTACAGATTTTGTAAACGATTCTAGATTTAAGAATATTGTAGAATGCTCCTATATCTGCTATTTCTTGTAACATAATGGAATTAAACATCTTAAAATGTGTATTTCCGTGGAATTAAAGAAAATTTTTTACTCTTTTTTTTTTACTAATTTCAAAAAGGAAAAAAAAAAAGATGAATTTTTAGCGCTTAATTGTGATCCTAATGCAAAGGTTGATTCTGAAACCAACATTCCAACTCGAGTAATACTGAAAAGCAAACTGTATACATTGCCTTATGCTCCCTGGTTTTTGGCATCATTTTGTAATAAGCGCTCAATTCATTTTACTTATCTGACTTCATATAGTATTTATGATGAAAGTTTTTTTTGCAATAATCACACGATTGATTTTGCAGAAGTTGAGGTAA